AAGGTTTACAAACAGAAACAGCTAAAGTTTTCCTAACAGAAACAGCTAAAGTTTTCCTAACAGAAACAGCTGAAGTTTTTCTAACAGAAACAGCTGAATGTTTCCTAACAGAAACAGCTAAAGTTTTCCTAACAGAAACAGCTAAAGTTTTCCTAACAGAAACAGCTGAAGTTTTTCTAACAGAAACAGCTGAATGTTTCCTAACAGAAACAGCTAAAGTTTTCCTAACAGAAACAGCTAAAAGTTTCCTGACAGAAACAGCTAAAGTTTTCCTAACAGAAACAGCTAAAGTTTTCCTAACAGAAGCAGCTGAAGTTTTTCTAACAGAAACAGCTAAATGTTTCCTGACAGAAACAGCTAAAGTTTTCCTAACAGAAACAGCTGAAGTTTTTCTAACAGAAACAGCTGAATGTTTCCTAACAGAAACAGCTAAAGTTTTCCTAACAGAAACAGCTAAATGTTTCCTAACAGAAACAGTTGAATGTTTCCTAACAGAAACAGCTAAATGTTTCCTAACAGAAACAGTTGAATGTTTCCTAACAGAAACAGCTGAATGTTTCCTGACAGAAACAGCTGAATGTTTCCTGACAGAAACAGCTAAAGTTTTCCTAACAGAAGCAGCTGAAGTTTTTCTAACAGAAACAGCTAAATGTTTCCTGACAGAAACAGCTGAAGGTTTCCTGACAGAAACAGCTGAAGCTGGCGTTGGTCCTGCTCACCTGCGGTCTTCTCCTCCGGCGATCACGATGCACTCAGAGTAACCTCTGGGCTTGAAGGCGGTGAGCATGGCCTCTCCCTGCAGCGGGCCGTCCGTCAGAACCTTCTGACAGAACTCCCGGATCACCTCCCTCATCAGCGGCTCCCCCATGGACTGAAGACAGGACACAGGTCAGGTCTGCCCTCTGAGACAACAGGTAAACGTCCTCGCCCCGGCTGGAGTGACTCACCTGCTCTCTCAGGTAGCTCAGGTCCAAACCCTGCAGCCACACGGCTGACATCACTTCCTTCATGTGGACCTGCAACAAACCAGTTTTAATCACCTCTTGTGTGTCTGTTGTGTTTACATCACCGGGTCTTTCCAGCCTGGGCTCTAAGCTCCACCCACCCGGCGGTGGTCAGGGTCGTCGGCGAACCAGCGCACCACGGCCTCCAGCACGTGCTTCTCGTTCCCCACGTTGAGCTTCTCCATGGCCAGCAGCTCGCACAGCCGGTCGTGAGGGAGCTCCCTGAACTCCTCGCTGAGCGCCACGTCGCGGAAGTGCGTCTGCAGGAAGTCGGTGGCGACGTAGTGCACGTGGTGCAGGCAGTAGTGCAGGGAGAAGAGGCGGATCCCGATGCAGTTCTCTGCCGTGATGCAGCTCTCCAAGAACTGGCAGCAGAGCAGCTTCAGGTCCGTCATGAGGAGCAGGTCTGAGGCCTGCACCATGTCCTGGATGGTCTCCTCACTGAGGCTGATCTGACACAGGAACCGCAGGAACCAAACTTAAAGCCCTCCGCCTGCCTCTCTGATGGTATATGGGTGCATTCAGCATCAACACTCACTTCCCCACTGAAGATGTAGTCCAGGATCTGCTTCATGATGGCCATGGAAACCCCCTGCAGCTCTATCCTGTAGGTGGAGCCGTCTTCTTTTGGAGGGTTGTAGTTCAGTTTGGTCCTGAAGCAGGAAGAGTCACAACACAAACACAAAACTACAAATATTCCTGGTTGCTGTGTGTGTGCAAGTAGACACACACATGCTGCTCTGACACAGGCAGAACATCACTGATCACACCTGCACAGGTGGGACGTCTCATTTCTACTGAGTCTTAAATGTGCTTCACACATGTTTATAATTAGAATAATTTATAATCTATGTGCCATTAGTTTATTCTATGATTTAATTATGACACACATATAGATCAGATGCTGCTGCTGACTGATCCATGATGTCATCATGTAAATGTAACATTTTCTACATATAGGTCAAATTAATCACTGCAATAAAATAACTTTGTCTGTTTTTGTCACTTTTACAGTGGATTGCATCAACTCTGTTACATCCAGAAGGGAAACTTCACCAAAGTGAAACATAAATCTGTGGATCTGTGTTTGATTACTCTGCCTGGCTTTCTCAAGGACCAGGATGTGACACAAACATCTGAATTATGGAACTGAAAGTGAAAGTAGTCAAACTGAATTTTTAATAAACCAAAATACAGTTTCAAAGTAAATTAATTCTGATACAAAACTTTAAATTCAGTTTAAATTTAGTAAAATTTATTTTCAAACCAATGCATTTAATTTCAAATTATGAACATTCAGATTCAGTTCCTGCTGACAGGATTGATCCCACAGCAGTGTGAACATGAATAAAACGGATTGTTTCAGCCTGACTGACCGGATGTAAGGACTGGCAGCAGCCAGGATGTTTTTCTGAACCGGAAGTTCCTCTCCATCAACCACCAACAGGGCATCGTGGAAACTTTGCTCCTGCCAGAAAGTGCGAAGAACTCTGAGGAGCTTCTGGGAGTGCTGTGGGTCCGAAACCTTCGAACCGGGCTCACTGGATCTACAGTTCGGCATGTCTTGGCTTGCCACAGTCCTCTCTGTCAACAGAACCACATACTGACATTTCCTGCATATTTACTAATTAATAATACATGTTTGTTGAAAAACTAACAAACCGAATACTTAGTTTGTTGATATAGAGTAAGATTTGTTTTCTGTAAGTTCTTACTTCAGTGATTTCAGCAGAAATTCTTTAAACAGCACAAAATCTAAATCAGGTTTGGCGAGAAGAGCTAAGCTAGCAGCGACACGGCCGACATGTAAACAAACGGCTTCTGATGAACGAGTTTAGTTTAAACTTCACGTGTCATGTTTTTATTATTTGTAATTACTCGTTTTTAGCGCCTTACCTTTGAGTTAGTGAGTGTTGTTGTGTGTTTTGGGGCACAGGGAGTGCCGAACTGCACTTACAGAACCATGAATCACTCCAGGCGAGAATCTTTCAAGAAGACGCTAAGACACATGCTGCGTTCAAAACCGTAGGACAAAATAATTAAAGTACGTATCTGAGAAGAAAAGAACAAACAGACTAATAAAACTTACAGTTTTGTAACCAAATCTCAAACCATATTATCGTAGTTCTGTATTTATAAATTAAATTGTACTTAGTAGATAAGAAGCACGTGGTAAGAACATGTCATTACAAGTTTCAGGGAGGTTCTGAAAAATTTCCTACGGTCCGTGAATGTGTCTTCAGCCATGTGTCAACAACAGGTTTAAAACTGCAGAAATGTCCTGCAGCTGAGAGCAGAATAACCTCTGCAGTTTTAAATAAAGACATTTTAATGGATGAGAGAAAAAAAGGTTTCAACCAGAATAAAAGTTCAGTTACTTATTTGTTTTAATTTCTGTGTCCTGAATGAGAATCTACACCAGCACAGTTTTACCTTTTCACAAAGTTTTTTCACAGAAGGATTCAAATTATTGAAATTCCAAATTATTTTTGCTGAACCTACTTTAGGTTAATTCAATAATCAGATAATATGAAGCCAGTGTATTTAGTCCTTGTCGTTTAAGTTAAGAGTGTTAAGAGTTAAGTGTTTCGGGTTTTTATTTTATTTTATTATTATTATTTTTATTATTATTATTATTATTTGTGTGTGTGTGTGTGTGTGTGTGTGTGTGTGTGTGTG